ATAAGCCATTCGTTTTTACGTACGAACATTATTCATTCAACAGGAATAACAGCGATTTGAACAAAATAACATGAAAGTCAGGTTCCTATCAGCTAAAAACGTATACCAACATGACAAATTATAAATGGTTGTGATATAAAGAAGGAATTGAACGGTTTGTTTTTGAAAGAATAGGTTAAAAGAATCTGCAATTCACAATTAATTGATTACTAAGTAGTAACCAATGTCCATTGTAATGAATATATCTCAGTCAATTGAGGCCCGACTAGCTCAGTAAATAACATTTCTAATTATGAAGCTGAAAGACACAGATTTTAACCAATTAGAGATCTGTTCTCTTTAGATCACCGGTATACTTTGCTGATGAGTGCTAAATAGCATGAAACCTGAGTTCAGGGTACCCTGTCGACTATCTCCAACCACCATCTTACTGACTGTCATTTATGGACGTTAAAAAAAATCGGACAGTTAACAAGTTTTTGTATACCCTTTTTGAAGCTGTCATTTCACAGATGTATATTAAACTCACAAACCTATTGAAGAAAAAATACTGACTATCATAACTTATAAGTCTGCTGGACAAATTACAGGTATTTAAACTAATAGGTCATTCGGTCAAGTGCTCTGGCGCGAGACTGGTAGGTCCTGGGTTCCAATCTCGTCAGGCGGGATCGTGGATGCGAACTGCTGAGGAGTCCCATAATAGGACGAAACGGCCATCCAGTGCTTCCAGGTTTTATACGGTGGTCTAGCTTCAATTGACTCATGATTTTAAGTATATATAATAGGTAATCAGTTTGACTTTGACATCATGGACATTTACACTGGAGTTCATCAGGTTGATATGTACCACAAAACATGAAACTCTTAGGTTCTTTGTTATAGTACTAGCTACTATCTAGAGTAAATTCAATGATTAAAGTTCTCTTTTTCTAACGGAACTTTCTTGCTATAAATAAGCAGTTTTCTCTTTTTCTTTTTACTAGAAATGTAAAGCGTATCCCAGGAAACTAGAAGACGTAAAGAAAATATACCTGACTGCTTTGTTGCGCATTGTTCGATTTTAATACTGATGTGCGAAATTCTTATATAAGAGCCCAGTAGGCTACATGAGTGAGGAGGCCTTTATTGACTAATCAAGTTATCTATCTATCCATATATTCATCCCTAAGACATTTAAGCCTCACTTTCACACCAATCTTATGTGTCTTATGCCTTAGAAACAAAAGTCATTTCTTGGCCAGTCACATGTGCTTAACATTTACCCGATATTTAATTGATCCACTTTATCAGTATTCCATCATATGTTCCCGGAAATCCTTTGTTGAGTGTAGTGAAATCATTTAATGCATATTACTAAGATTAAGAATAGAGTACTTGGTACAAAAGATGAGTTTCTTGATGAAACTTAAGATGTCCATCGACTGTGTTGATTAGGATTTACCTAACAATTGACAATGATATCTGACACTAACTTCTACGGAAGTAGCTTGGAAGAAACAGGTAGGAGTGGGGAGTCCAAGATGTGATATCAATTTATGAAGTCAATGACTATTCACTTGAGCTATTTTGCTAGATAAATACTTCTCGACTGGGATCTTATTCATTATCATGGTTACTGACCAGGGATGTGGTATGATATAACTTAAAATCAATTGCAATGCTAATCTCATTGTAATAAATGATTAAATTAAACTGATACCACGATAGTTTAAGTCTACCGTAGTATTCTCTTCATTTTTATTGTCTAAGTGCCATGGATTTTCTCGCAAGAACATAAGAAAAACTTACAAGGACTACTTTATAACAACTGAATTAGGTTACATCTGTAGTGAACGAGAAAACCGATGAGGATAACCAAATGTATTTTAATACAACATTACAAAGTACCTTGCTAAAATCTGAAAAACATACAGTAAACACTTCATTTACAAAATATTCATCAATTATAATAGTTTTGTTCTCTGAACTGGATGGTTTGGTCGTAGAGATTTCATCGTCCTTCTGAACGACATCATCAGCACAAATTTCGAGTAGAAGTGAAGTGTGCTAATGATGTAGTCCAGAAGGATGATGAAAGCTCCACGACCAAACCATCCAGATCAGAGGACGAAACTTCGTCAAAATCACCTACCTGAGCTACAAATCTTTTCCACCATCCATCAATTATCTCTAACTTTTTTGTTTCTTCTTTTCCACACCAATCATTCTATGTTTTCATTCTTTTCTCTTTGATCTTCTTAACATTCCATCTCCAAGCGTTTCACTTTCCATTGATCGTACATACTATTTATATCTGTCGACTAAATATTTTATTTATTTTATTTAGCTCTGAGTTCGATCTTTTGGTTTTCATCCACACATTCAAAAATATTCAAACAACCAGTCTAATGGTCTTTATTTTTCAAACGTTCTTTTTAGCTAATGCCATTCTATTGTAGATGGCATCGAGTCTCGATTGACTATGATCATCACTACAGTAAGATTACGCGCCCGAAGAACGATTTGATTCCTTTGATAGCTCGTAAACCAGCAGGCTGTAACTGGTTCAGATAAACTATATTTATTTACAATCTCGTGGTATCGAATGAATACCGAGACGTGCCAAAGATTACAGGCAAAAAGAGCAGAGTGTGAGAGAGTTCTCACGAACCAGATGAACAACGGAACGAGAAGTGATTTTTGATACAGTTAAACAAGAACAAGTACAGTAAAAGAATCACTTGTACAATTGGTTATATTAATAAATATTAATAATTGTTTTCATTATCAGAAGAGGTTATGTGGAGATTTAACACCGTTGAATGCCGGCTCAGTGGTCCATCAGTTCAGGGCTCTGACTCGAGACTAGTAGGGCTTGTGTTCGAATCTCGCGAGTGCGGGTTCGTGGATGCGCACTGCTGAGGAGTCCCATGATAGGACGAAACGGCCGTTCAGTGTTTCCAGGTTTTCCATGATGGTCTAGCTTCAATTGACTCACGCTTTCAACTATGTTTCCATTATACCAATCACGTTCTCGTCGTGAAAAGGAGGTCACTACACTGTCCTCCCCCCCAAAAAAACACACTCCCCCTTACTTCAAACCTGACCATTTCCTACATAAACCACCTATCATCAATTATTTAATTACCATCTAACCACTAACAGTCCTAATGTTTAACCTTAATGATAATACACTTAGTTATTTGATTATCCTTTTTATAAATATCCCATTATAAAAATGATTAATAAATATACTGAATACATTGAATATTGAAGGTCAACTTTTTTGAACATTGATCTCATTTCAATCATTAGTTTATCCGATATAAAATCAAGGTCAATCGAAGGTGACTTTTTATATTTGGCAACCACATTTAATAATAATAATAATAATAATAATAATAGTAATAGTAATCATTATAGTAGTAACCATAGTAATAATAATAATAATAATAATAATAATAATAATAACGGTTGTAGTAGTAGTAGTGGTAGTAGAGTGGTCTACTTATATCCATATGAGTAGTATATGATGATGGTCAGGCATAGAATGTATTTTTGCAGAAGATCGATAAGGGAAGAACAGAAATGAAGCGCAATTGGTAGGAAAATGCATGAACAATGGAATTAGAGAAGATTGACTGATATTTGCAGAAGGAACAGTCAAGATTGAGGCATTAGATTGATAGTTTGCAAATTAACTGTTTGCTGTATGGTTATTCGAATTCAGTGAGATAGTATGTAATTCATGCTTAAATACATTTGAATGTCCCCACTCGTGTTCTCATTCACTAAAATAGTAATGGTACTAATGATAGTAATCATAATAGTAGTAATAATAATGGCCCCCAAATGTCCTGGTATGGCCGAGAGTGGGTAGAATTCTCTCTCCCTCTTGAAATGCTCTCACATGGCCACGCGTATATAAATGGAGTATGAATCAATCGTTGGTCACCAGCTACCATGGGACTGCATCTCCTAACCATGCTCTACTGCCTTGTGGATCAGATCTCTAGGTCAAAGGTTCCGGGTGTGACCCCCTAAGAAAACCAACTGCTTCGGTCTGGGCACCTGGTCAGTATCACAGCCCTCACATAAATCGAATGAAATTTGTGAGGCGCATATCTATCTGGTGCTCCCTTGTACCAATATTTATGCGTTTAAATAATACTAATAATAACCATAATGACAGTGATAGTAATGGTAATAATAATGGTAATAGTAATAATAATACATTGAATATTGTAGGTCAACTTTTTTAACATTGATCTCATTTCAATCCTGCATAAAATCAAGGTCAATCGAAGGTATCTCTTTTTTGGCGACCACATCTGGTAGTAATAATAATGATAACGGTAGTAGTAGTAGTAGGAGGAGGAGGAGGAGGAGTAGGAGGAGTAGTAGTAGGGTAGTGGTAGTAATAGTAATGGTAATGGTACTAATAATAGTAATAATAATAATAGTAATCATAACAATAATGATAATAGTAATATTAATGGTCATAATAATAGTAATAGTAATAATAATGATACCATTTTAGTGAAAACTTAATTGCTAATTGTAAATTTAGTTTCTGGCCTAATTTTTTTTTATTTTTAAAAAAAAATGTTCTAACTGTAAATGAGCCAATAAAAAATCCATCAAAAAAAGAAAAGAAGAAAAAAAAACGTTTATTTACAACAAGGACAACAACAATAATCACCACACCAAAAAAAGGTGACTTCAACCACTGAACAAGTAAAACCGACATAACTTAGTTTTACTTGACAACGGAATATTTACAAAAATACTCACTTATTATATATATACGTGAGTGGGTGGGTGGGTGGTTGGTCATAGAACCGGTTCAATGTAAATATTGCAATGAAAAAATAAATAGCCCCCTCCATCCCTCTTCCCTTCCGTTCCCCTCCCTATATATACATGCTGGGAGGGTGGGTGGTCATAGAACCGGTTCAATGAATGTATTAGAATAAAGAAATAAATAGCCCCTACCCCTCTTCCCTTCCGTTCCCTTCCCAACATATATATATCTGTCTGTAATCAAAGTATCCATGAGCAATAAAATGAAATGAGTTTCATTTAAATCATTGAATCATTGAATATGATCATATTTAAACAAAACTTATTACTTATTTATTTATATATTATTACTTTTAATTTGCTTATATATGGATATGATTATCCAATGTATATGAATATGGAACATCCACCAGCATCATCATCACTGTCATCCGACTCATCAACATCATCGTCATCATCATCATCATCATCCAAATCATCTTCATCATCATCATTATTGAAATCAAAGAAGATTCATACTATATTACATAGATACTATTGGATCCATAGAATTCATCAACTGGATCCATTCCATGATGATAATCTTTATTCTTCTTTGAATAAGAGGAACTATTCAAATCATCAGATTTTATTAAAACTTCTTAAAGATAAACGTAGAATGAATAATGATGATCATAATAATAAAGATCATCATCATCATCATCATAATATTATTATCATTAATCGATTATTAAATGGTGAAATATTTAAATTACGAGGTTGGAGACCACAACGATATGGATAAAGGAATTTATGTTGCTATGTTATTAAAATATTTGTTTATTGGAAATCAATAAATGATGAATAAATAAATAAAGATTTAAATGATTATTAAAAGGAGGGGTTGGAGATCTTTTTTTAGTCATTTTAATAATTGAATTCATTAGTCCATCATGGGATACTTGGAAGCACTGAATGAATGTTTCATCCTAGTATGGGACTCTTCAGGAGTTCATTGTGACGATCTCACCGGGCGAGATCAGTCTCATGCGCGAATACTTAACATCTTGACGGCTGAACTAGCATCCAACGGTGTTAATATCTAACTTTAATCAATTCATGAAATTGAGACACTGTTCACCATTGTCTTTATTGAGTTACTACCTCACAAAAGACGCCATTCGAATCTCTCGAGGCGAGATTGTGAATGAGCGCTGCTGAGAAGTTCCACAATAGGACTAAACAGCCTTTCAGTACTTCCACGTTTTCCATGGTAGTCTAGCTTCACTTGACTCATGATCTCGACTATAAAATTTGAATGACTAAAAAATTAGTTAAAATATGAGAGACGATAAACCAAGTTGTATAGAACCTAATAAACCATTTAAATTAAGATATATAGTAAATCAGTATACAGCAATTTAGTTATGGAAATATTTGAAATGGCTAAGATTATCTCGTTGTTGATATTTTGACTGAAGTTGGATTAGACTTGGTTGATGTATGGGCTCTTACGGGGATTGTGTCGATATAGCTATTATGACACAAGTTGATATAAGATAGATAGAGTGTGGCTAGATGTGAAAGCCAGGACGCGAACCTCATCACTTCAAATTAAATCTCTTATCCGTTGCATAAGTTAGTGACTACCTGAATTCAGTAGCTGGGTGGATAACGTGGTGACGTTTAAAGAGCACGGTACTGAGTTTCAGTTCTGGTGTCAACATCAATTTGCGGATACAGATACATCCAACTAGCTAGTCCCGAATGAGACAAGACGTGTGTCCTAAATTCCACTGCCAACAGCATTCCATCAATTAGTAATTTATTCAGTTAACCAAGTCAACAGTAAGGCAATCATCATTTCTGATGACACTGATCAAGATTTTCTCTCGAATATATAAAACATAAATCGATAGAAGTTAGAAATTAGGACCACCGTGCTCGAATTAAGTGGTTAAGAGATAATATGTTCACTATGGGAAATTAATTTCTAGGATTAATCCATGGTAGGATTTTTACTACGTACTTATGGGGAGTCCTATTCCAAGACGTAATAGCTATTCCACTGCTTCCTGGTTTTCAATGGTAACCTTAACTGGTGTTCAACTAGTGTTACGTCTTTCTTAGTGCAGATAGAATCCTATCGATCAAGTTGCAATGTGCCCACTAGTCTAGGTGATTCGACATTGAGTGTACTATGTTGGGATAAGATGGTAGTTAGAGGTAGTCGACAGGAAACTTTGGACCTCAGTTTCGTGCTATTTGGTACTCATCAGCAACTTACTTACTTACTTACGCCTGTTACTCCCAATGGAGCATAGGCCGCCAACCAGCTTTCTCCAACCCACTCTGTCCTGAGCCTTCTTTTCTAGTTCTATCCAGTTCTTGTTCATTCTTCTCATGTCTGTCTCCATTTCTCGGCGTAATGTGTTCTTTGGTCTTCCTCTTCTCCTTTGATCTTCAGGATTCCATGTGAGGGCTTGTCTTGTGACGCAATTAGCTGATTTCCTAAAGGTGTGCCCAATCCACTTCCAACGCTTCTTCCTGATTTCTTCCTCTGCTGGAATCTGGTTTGTTCTCTCCCACAGTAACTTATTACTCATCAGCAAGGTGTACCTATAATCTTGAGGAAACTGATGCCCCCTGACGGATTCAAACCTGTGTCATTCAGCTTCACAATCAAAGATGTTACAACTGGGCTATCCAGTCAGTCAGTCAGTCAGTCAGCTACAACGTAGGACCAGACACATATATGCATCGGTCCAAGTTGCCATACCTCGTTAGCACAACAAGATGAACACCGGATTCATAGAAGTAGTTAATTTAGTGGTGCTAATATATCAAAGAAAGGTTGTATATAAGGATATAGTATAGGAAGGAAGAGAGATATGAAGCTATTTTAGTCTCAAGGTTTAAGGGAAGATAAAGAGTGTATACACCTACGCCATTGTGATCGATTCTGAGCCATGTCACCTAGAGTCTCCAACCATTGGTTACGACAGTCACGCGGACCCCAACCAGGTAGTCTGCATTAGCCAATATGGTTCAGGCTAGAAGTTAGTGACTTCAAACACTGATGCCATGTTTTGGTTTGGCCGCCCCTAACTCTCTTCCAACCATCCCCTACACTAGTCAACATTGCGCGTCGTGGTAATCGGTGTTCAGGCATACGTAACACATGGCCCAACCATCTCACTCGATGAAGATTCATCACCTCATCAACTGATTTACCATCTTTCCCTAATACCCTGCGTCTAACCTCACTATTACTTACCCGGTGATCCCAGCAGATGCGAGCAATATTTCTAAGGCAACCTACGAGTATCTTCTACTCTTAATGGCCATGTTTCACAGCCGTAAAGTAAAACAGAGCGAACTGCTGTGCAGTATACTCGTCCTATAATTGATAGACGGATATCTCGTCTTCGCCATAGGTGACGCCTGGTAGGAGATCAATTCCTGAAAATTCAGTCGAAGAGAGTGTTATTTCCAGCAACAGGTCTATAATGAAGTTAAACAAAAATGGGAATAGTGGACAGCCTTGACGGACACCACTTGAGGTTGTAAAATCATATGACAGTTCGCCATAAGCTCTCACTCGACTGGTAGTGTTCGAGTAAAGAGCCTTCACAAGGTTTATGTACTTCTCAGGTACACCTTTCAATGACAGACACTGCCACAGAACCTCTCGGTCTACAGAGTCAAATGCTGCTTTCAAGTCAAGAAAAACTATCATTGTCGGACGCCGATAAGCATGTCTGTGCTCTAAAACTTGACGAATGGTGTATATGTGGTCGATACAGCCACGACCAGGTCTGAAGCCAGCCTGATTTTCTCGTGTCTGCAGTTCACGAGTCTTAGTTAGGCGCCCGATAATTATTGAGGCTAGTATTTTAGATGATATGTTGGTCAGACTAATCCCTCTATGGTTATCGCAGGATGATTTTAACCCCTTTTTATATATTGGGACAATCAGTGATTGTGACCAGTCGGATGGGATTACATCCGTCTCCCAGATTTTAGCCAGAATATTAGTCAACCTAATCGCTAAAATCAGACCACCATATTTAAAGACCTCTGGAGCCAATCCATCAGGACCAGCTGCTCTTCCTCGTTTCAGATTACCTATAGCCTTTTGAACTTCAAGTAGGGTCGGGGGGCCTACTTCAATGTTCCATTCAGGTTTTCTAGGAATAGTGGGTAGTTGTGCAGTAGCTGAAGGCCAGCTAAACTGCTCCTTAAAGTGTTCCGCCCATCGTTCTAAACGTTTGGGTTGAGAGCAGATAAGGGTTCCGTCTTTTTCCGAGATTGTCTCACTTACACTTGACTTCTTAATTCCGGTTTCTTTTATTAGTCTGAATAGTTGCCTGGTGTTGCCTACAGCCGCTGCCTTTTCCATCTCTTTTGCTTTCGTTGCCCACCACTGCTCACGATCGTTCCTTAGACTTTTAGTTAACCAAGATCTAATTTGTTTACGCTCTTCGTCATGTTCAGAGCCTGATGGGATGAGTTTACGCGAATCCATCAGTGAAATAGACTTAGAAGAAATCCATTGGTTTTTTGGAGCCCCATGGTTTAAATGACTAATAGATGTGACTGCTGTTTCCACAGCTGTTCGTGTGTCTTTCCAAGCAGCATCTGGGTCAGTCTCGTTTACAGAACTGCCTAGATGTGAACTCAGTTGTTTGTGGAATTCGCATTTGGCTTTCTCGTCCTCCACTTCAATCCTAATGGGTCTTCTTAGTGTACTTTTCCTGCGTCCATTGAGGCGCAGACAAATGCGTGCTCGTATTAAAGCGTGATCAGAGTCTAAACAAGTATTCCAATACGAGCGACAATCTTCTATTGAGCCTCTCCAACGATGGCTGATGACAATATGGTCTATTTGAGTCCATCGTTGGTTTGGTGCAGGTGGTCGCCATGTTAGACGATGTCTCTCCTTATGTTTAAAATTAGTGCTTGCTAAAAATAAACGATTGTCTGAGCATAGTTGCAACACACGATCACCATTATCGGTTCGTTGAGCCGGAATACTAAAACACTCACCTAAATGTCTTTCTGTTTGATTTAAGCTGCCTACCTGGGCATTAAAGTTACCCGCTACGACTACTATGTCTGAGCACTTAGCTTTCTGAAGAAGCTCAGAGAGCTTTCTGTAAAAGTCATCTTTCACTTCATCATGGCTGCAGTCAGTGGGAGCGTAGGCAGAAACGACGAAAAGGCAACGACGTGTGTCCCTATCCTTCCGAGTTCTTACAGAGCCATTTATCCGGACAGCACACAGGCGACTGTTAACGGGGATCCATTCTAGTAGTGCCTGTTCTGCCCTTGTACTTAGTGCTATGCCTACACCTGCAAGTCCGCCGGAACTAGCCAACGGGTCGCCAGATACACGGAGGGTGTATTTCGTTGGCTGTCCATTCTGGCGAGGTGAGGTCAAGTGAATGACCACACTGGGATCCTGTATGCGTGTTTCGGAGACACAGCATACATCAATGGTACGAGATTCTAGGGTTTTAGCTAAGGAGGCCTGTTGACCGATTTGGCATAGGGTACGTACGTTGAAGGCTCCAATGTGTAGTTTGGAGCGAGGTTTTAGTAAACCTGGGACAGCGTTTCGCGCACTAGAATCGTCGGCCATGGTGACACTTGAGGAGGAAACCGAGAGAGGAAGTTTAGTGTTGAAAGTCAAGGTAGAAGTAATAGTATGAATTGAAGAAGGAGATTGATTATGAATACAGTGGTCTTGAGTGCTGTTAGAGGTATGAGGGTAGTTATCACTTCCCGGTTGCCCACACCATGGAAGGATTCTTCTAGAGGTACCTGAAAAGGAAATTGGGTTAGAAGTGGTCTTAATGACCTGAAAGCGTGACCGCAGTGCTCAAGGGACAACCGCTTGAGGTCGGTCACACACGACCTTTTCGTGGGTAGTTTTTGTGTTAGCTCCGTTCTTCAAAATACCTTACCGCCGGAGACGGATATCCGTGGGATAAGGCGAGGTGTGCATTTTTAGGGTCGACCTTTTCTAACCCCACCCCTCCTTGTGGGAAGGCAGCATCGCTGTCATGCTGGTTGTCTGAGGGAAACACCTTACTGCTATCACACCTCTGTACAGTCAGCAGTACGACTTCGCCTTCGGACCTTGGGTTAGCTGCTTTTAGTCTCGCCGCTCTTCAACCGACCTGTCTGGCATGGTAGGACCTCGAGGAACGATTGTTCCAGCCAGCATAGCTCGATTGCTTCATCACGATAGGCAAACCCAACCACCACGTCAAGGTTGCAGCAACGGACGGGACTGGGCTTTCCGGGCCGCGACGGACCTCCTGTAGGACTGAGATGTATTTACAATTAATTGATAATTGGGTGGTACTTAATGTAATGTATGTTAGGTCTTTAATAAACTAAGAATTAACTATTTCATCCCATTGAATTTTCACTTTTTAACCTACAGATTTAATCATGTGTAAGAACTATTTCTATAAAACAAACGGAAATGAATGTGTGTGTGTGTCTGTATGTACAGGGGAACATGTAGAAGGGGTAGAGTTAATGAAGGATATGTGATTAGACGTTGTGTGTAAAATTTCAAAACTCATTATACAAAAAAAGAGCCTAGTGATATTCATACTGATAGTAACAGGCGTCAAAATAGTTTATAGAGTCAGACAAGTAAAATTAATGAAATATAACCTGTGAAAAGTAATGGAAATATGTGGATTGTTCAAGTTTATTCATATATGTTTTTATGTATGATTTAGTGTTCACTTACTTACGCCTGTTACCTCCAATGAAGCATCGGCCGCCAACCAGCATTCTTCAACCCACTCTATCCTGGAACTTCCTTTATACTTCTACCCAGTTGTTGTTCATTCTCCTCATATCTGTCTCTATTTCTCGGAGTAATGTGTTCTTTGGTTTTCCTCTTCTCCTATGACCTTCAGGATTCCATGTGAAGGCTTGTCTTGTGACGCAGTTGGGTGTCCTATTTACTTACAGCGCTTCTTCCTGATTTGTTCCTCTGGTGGATGGAATCTGGTTTGTTCTCTCTCACAGTAGGTTGTTGCTGATAGTGTTTGACCAACGGATACAAAGTATTTTACGTAGACACCTGTATCTCCTGGATGATGGATGTAGTAGTTCTCCAAGTTTCCGCTTCATACAGCAAAACTGTCTTGACATTTGAATCACTGAATGAGTTACTGTAAGATTATAGTATAAAGTACTATATGGAAAAATGGTTAATCGATTATTTGAAAAACTCTCATTCCAAACCAATGATGCACATTGATGGGCTCCAGTATTCTGAGGGAACAAATGGCGTATGAATCGATCGTTGGTGACCGGCTACCATGGGACTGCATCTCCTTACGATGCTCCACTGCCTTGTGGATCAGATCTTTAGGTCAAATACTCTGGGTGTGACCCCCTAAGAAAACCACCTGCTTCAGTTTGGGCACCTGGGTAGTATCTCAGACCTCACACAAATCAAATGAGATTTGTGTGGCGCATATATATCTGGTGCCCCTTTGTACCAATATTAATGTGTTCAAATAATAATAATAAATATGCTAGAAGCATCACAAAAATGAAAAGTCACGTGTAGAGTTTCTGATTGACTGATTACTACACTGCTACTATATTTAGTAGCATTCCAGAATTTTCAGGAAAACCCAAAGACTTCTAAAATACTATAAAAACCCTATACTTTTTGTACATCAATGAACCTTTGAAGTAAAGCACTTCTCGGATAGTTTGCACCTTTTCTCTTGTGTTCAAGTCGCTGTGTAGTTCTAGCTTGGGGGTACAAAATTATCTTAGGATCTGAATATAGCGTTCAATCATTTCAAAATGAAACTTAGGACTTAGATTATCCACATTGTTTTAATTTTGATGGAGTTTTGTTCTCTGAGCTGAATGGTTTGGTCGTGGAACTTTCATCGTCCTTCTGAAAGACATCATCAGCACAAACTTCGAGTAGAAGTCTACATTGCTTACATGTACACTAAGTGTGTTGTAACTGTTAAGATAGAGTTGAGTATTGAAGATGTTAAGACTTCTGAGACTGATTGATGGTATTACAAGTTCACTTTACTCGGTAGACGGAACGAAGGTCAAAAACACAGTGACATGATAGGCTGTTCTAATCCATTGTCCCCGGCCCTGCTAACTAGATCAAGAAGTCTTGATGAGGTGTAGAGAATGTATTCTACAACCGCCCTTGGGGGAGCCACAAAATAACGTACTAAAAAAATCCGTCAACCTATGACAGTCAAGGACTTCCGAGTGGGAAATGTAAGCTGTAGGTCAACTAAGCCTCTCTTGGCGCGAAAACATAAAATTCAAATTTTCAGAATAAAATTACAAAATTAGGACATTTTCCAAGTGAGTTCTGGGAATTTAACGTCCTCAACACTGATTTACAAGCTATTATCACTTGTATTTTTATTACATAATTAATTTATCTAAACATTTTTAGAAATCGGCACTGAAATATACAATGAATTATTAAATTTGTGTATGGGCTGGGATACTGCCTAGAAGCCCAAACCGAAGTAGGTGGTTTTATTAGATCACTCCACGAGCCTCTGACCTTATGGTCTAATCAACAAGGCAGTGCAGCTACGTTAAGAGATGTGGTTTCATGATAGCCGGTGACCAACAGTAAGTTCATACTCCACTTATTCTCTCAGTATCCTGGAGCCCATATCCCCCATTGGTTTGAAATCATACCTTTTCAACCCCCCTAGATTCATCGTACTTATAAGTCCGATTTAAGGCCCCAGACATTGGCTTTTCATTCTCTAGATTTTGTGAACAATGCTGCTGAGAGTTAGTGAGTAGAACTTCCCTGAGTGATTATATACACGTGGCCGTATATGAGAGCATTTAGAAACGAAGAGCGGACTCTCGCTGCCGTCCGCCTTACAAAGGCACTTGAGTGTTATTATTAAATAGCTGGATTGTTGTATCTTGTACTCACCCTAAGTGATGAGCAGATTGAACTAGTCGAGAAATTTGTGTTGGTGGTGGCATGCGCGATGAGATCAATTCACGAATAATGAAACCCAGAGCGGCTTATGTCAATTTTGTGTACGATTATCATTACCGTTGAATAAAGTTAATTGTTCGATACTTATCTTTATTATATCATATTTAAAAGATAGAAATCAGTGTATATACACATAGCCACATAAACATAGATATATATTTCTTACAAATTTCATAATACAATATAAACAAAGTTGTATCATTTGTAAAATAGACATACATATGTATAGATAGATAGATACGTTCAGAAAGAAGCAAAGAAGAAGAAGACGAAGAAGAAGAAGAACTAGGATTATCATCAAAGGAAAAAGGGTTTATCAATAGTAGATACGTTCAGAAATAATCAAAGAAGAAGAAGACGACGAAGAAGAAGAACTGGGATTATCATCAAAGGAAAAAGGGTTTATCAATAATGAAGAATACTCCATATACAGATCTATCTATACCAAGATGTCCACTGATAGTAATATCCAAAAAAATAAATACTTTTTATAATCTATTCAATAATACATAGATATCTTAAAAAAATACATCAACCATTACCAAAAAAGAATCATCAAGAGAATAAAGTGTCTACAATTCTTATTTCTAATCAAGTGAGATAGGGACAAAGAGAGATACAAAGGGAGGTAAATTGAAATTGAATAGTTATCAATTAAAAGAGGTAAAGTTGTTTTTTTCTTTTTTCTCTCTTTTAATCAATCCATGAAAGACTAATGGCTTTGCTTTTAATTATTATTATTATTATTACTGATACTAATACTATCATTTCTCTAGTGATGAAAATATATGATAATAATAATAATAATAACCATAGTAGTAGCGGTGGTGGTAGTGTTAGTAGTGGTGGTGATAGTAGTGGTAGTAGCGGTAGTGGTGGTAGTAATAGTAGTAGTGGTGGTAGTGGTAGTAGTGATAGTAATAGTCATAGTAATAATAATGGTCGAACATTGGACAAATAATGAAGTAAACAATAACAACAATGAATCCTGGATTTCTTTTTTTTAAAAAGAAAAATATATACATTTTTTCACCATTAAAAAAAGAATTCAACTGAAGAAGTTTCTAGAAGAGAGAAGAATAAATTGAAGAAATATGAAAAAGAGAAAGAGGGAGGGGGGAAAGAGAGGGAAAGGAGGGAGAGGGAGGGGGTAAAAAAAAGATCCATTTTAAATGCGTATAGCTAATAAATTTTTATGATATAATAATACATATGCATCTGTATGTAAAACATCATTTAAATTAACTGATACAACTTTTTGATCATCACATAAACACCATGATGTTGGACCAACACGTATATAAGCAGTATAATGACCAGAATTAGTTTGACCACTATGATTTAATACAGCATATAATGAATATCTAAAAATTATTTTTTTTTAAAAAAAAGAAGAAATATTTATTTTAATACAAACATTCTGGTATAGTTGACGATAGGGAGAGTCCGCTTTTGGTCTCTCTCTCTCTCTCACTTTCGAAATGCTCTCATAGCTACGTGTATATAGTCACTGTTAGAGAAGTTCTACTTACTAACTTCTCAAGGTGGGAGTGTTGTTTATGAAATTGAGAGGACAAGAACCTAATGTCCAATGATTTAACCGGGTTAGTTGATATGGAAGATCTATTTAGGGGAGTTGAAAATCCCTGATTTCAAACCAATGGTGCACATGGATTCCAGGATATTCAGGAAACAAATAGAGTACGAATCTAATGTTCGTCACCAGCTACTATGGAACTGAATTTCCTAACGTTTCTCCAATGCTTTGTGGATTAGATCTTTACGTTAAAGGCTTGGGGAGTAATCCCATAACAAAACCACCTGCTACGGTTTCGGCGCCCAGGCAGTATTCCAGACCATACACTGATCGAGCTACGAAGTGTGGCTCATTTATATTTCCTGCCTCCTTGTACTACTGTTTTGTGTCCAAATAAATAGACTAGTTGGTTACAGTAATCACAGGGAAACATATGTGAGTATCTACAAGCTATTTTTCATCATTATCTCAGTCTAGGGAGCCAGTATATAAAAAAAGTACAAAATAGTCCGAAACATGAGCGATAATGTATTCATTCAACAATACTAACATTTAGATATAATGGTAATTCGATTGAAGTCATTAACTCTACGTGTATGTTCTCTGGTTGGTTAGGTTCGGTGAAACAGTTGTCATTTGTCAGTGAAGACTTCAAATGGCATCAATCTTAATAATGTAAATTCATCTAAGTAATCTGTTCAATACATAAACAATGTAAATTTTTCATTCACTTGGTGTTGTATACTTGTATCTTCCCACTGTTATTTAGGACTGCAATTGATTAGTCTCTTGTTGGCATATGTGCATCCTGTGAGGACTGTTTCGATATTGCCTGACGTCACAAGTTTTATAAGCAAAGATGGATAATGGTTAGCAGTGGAATTTTTCAGTTTGTTAGTTATAAGCAAACGATCAACCGGAGCGTACTCAAACCCTACATTACTGTAATTTAACCTAACCTTAATGGACTGTCTCTATGCCGATACTAATCTATGAAAGTTGGAATCGACTTATGAGTACATAGTCTCCCAATGTGTCTACATGTTTGGAAAGTTATCCTCAAATTTCAGAATCACAGTCAACTATAATCACTGTAGAGTCCGGCATAAATTTGAGTGACCAAAGTTTACATACAACATTAAAACGATAAGATGAAATAAACAGAACAAAAAGTAAATGACCTGAAATCACTACAGTAGCAGTGAGAATGATAAAGACTAAACATTGAAAACCTGGTTCGCAAAGATAAAAGAAAACATATCCAAGAGAATATTGGAACTGACTACTGTGACTAATTTCGAGGCACATCATTAAAAGTATCCAATCATTGATCAAGGTTATCGAGTGATACCGCGACCAGATAGTCTTTATCTACCCCATCTCACCTTCAACTTACAATTATCTCAACTAATATTAAACGACGAGGCAGGTCGTAGGTGTTGGGCATGCGTAATACATGTCCGAGACACTTAAGAAATTTGTCTGCCATAACTATACTACTGACAAATAATTACGGGCTATACCCTTTTTTGTATTTGATTGGTTAAACTAACGATCACTAAGGTTCATAATAACAAACTTACTTATCATACCAAGCTGATTGATCGCCGACAATTTGGTGTAAATATGGAGCCATATCCAATTCAACAGGGAATGTGATCGATGTATTGATTTTCGTATCATGATGACAACGCTTAATATGATGATATAACAGTTAAAAAGAGTGAAAAGTCAAGAATATACATAGTATAAAGTTGAGAAAATAATTCAAATAGTTAACAAAGTAGAATGGTTAAGGGGCAGCCAAAACAAGATGTGGCATCAGTCCTTGGCGTTACTAAATTTTGGCCTGAGTCATGTTGGTAGATGCAGACTAGTAAGTTGGGGTCCGCGCGACTATCATACGCAATGGTTGGAGACTCTGGGTGACATAATGCTCAGAATCGAATCACAATAGCGTAAGCGTATACACTCTTTGCCTTCCCTTAAACCTTGAGATTTAAGTTACTTTATACCTTTCTTTCTACGAACTAATTCTTTCTCCCTGTATGAAATACTTAGATGTAATATTTTTTAAAATATATTACTACCATTGAAGTAACTACTCCTACGAATTTGGTGTTCATCTTGTTGTACTAATGAGTTGTGGCTAATTGAACTGATGCACACATGTGCCCGGTTTTACGTTGTTGTTGCTGACTGACTGGGAATGGTTAAAGTACTATTCAGTGATTGAGATTATATCCGCAAACGTTTAATGAATGGTGTTGACACTGATTTTCAAGGGTTACAAGAGACCGTCTTTCTACGTGGTACCGAACTTCATGTGTAATATCTGCAGTCTACTTATTACTCTGTGTCTTCTGCTCCTTCCATATCATTACAAAATACCTGCTGATCGATTCCTTAGAAATTCTTATGAAATTTTCTATTTTATACTTACTTACGCGTGTTACTCCCAATGAAGCATAGGTCGCCGACCAGCATTCTTCAACCCACTCTGTCCTAGGCCTTCCTTCCTAGTTCTATCCAGTTTTTGTTCATTCTTCTCATGTCTATCTGTATTACTCGGCGTAATGTGTTCTTTACACCAGGCTTACTTACTTACGCCTGTTCTATTTTATAGTTCAATTTTTTTTTTTGGGGGGGGGGTGAATACTATCGGTCATTTTCCGTTCATTTAGTGAAAGTAAATGCTGTCTATTCCGATGTAATGATTAAGAATTAGGTTTCCAACCTTAATTTTTTTATGTTTTAATCCGTTATATCTGGTTGTGCTAAACTGCGGATAACAGTTGCGGATAGGTGCAGTCCACTCGACCTTCAATAATTAAGAACACGGGTTTGAATCCCACTTCATTCATTTCCGTTTGAATATTTATATAATAGCATCACTAATCTTCACACAATCAATATTGTGCTCAGTAAAGCTGAATTCATTAAACCGTGGTTTTGAATTAGCACCGTTGCCTTGACAGTGAGCTCTTGATAGCAGTCTGGAGGAAACCCTGAATATCAGTGTCATACTTACTAGAACTAGTCAATATGGCGCACATGAAATCTTGAGGGAACTGAGGTTCTCTATTGGATCCAAATCTGGATCACTCAATTTCCTAGTCTTGAACGACACCACTGAACGGACCGAATAGCTCAGTAGTAACATATCAGATTGTGGAAATGAGTGGTTTAGATCTCGATCCAGTAGAACATTGGTTCCCTCAATATACCAGGTACGCCGTGTTAGACAGTTCTAACTAGCACGATACTTATATTCTAGGGTTCCTTCTGACAATGTTCAACCACTGTACCGTTTTTTAAACAGTTAATTAATTAACTGTGGAATATCATACCTAGAGTCCATCTTGTGAACTTTACTGGACTTATTACAGTGCAAAATGGACTGTTAAATGGTATTGAACTTTATAAATCGTAAAAGTTTGGTATTTAACTTTTGTGATCATTTTCAAGTGGAGCGGTGGTTCAGAGATTAGACGACTCGACTTTCAATCATGAGAACATAAGTTCGAACCCCTCTCCATTTTGCTTTGGTTTGGGAAATCAGGTAACACCGCTGACTCTCATGTATTAAGAGCACAGCTCAAAGTCAAGTAGATAAATATATATCTGGTGAGTTGCAAGTTGGATTTCAACGAACTCTGTTGGTATATAGACTATTTGAGCGAGAGCCTCAATAGTTCGTGTAGCTACCAGTTAATTATATACTGTATAGTAGCTAGCGGTAGAATACAGAGTGTATGTTTCGTCCCATATAAGACTAATTAGTTGGATATCTCTGGATTCTAGTATTGTTAATATTTACAATAAGACTTGAATCTGGTATATCTACTGCTTCAAAACTCAATGTATTTAGTAAACTATTCAGTTACAACAGAAATCATATTTACAGACTGATGATTAGATACATACCTTGAGATAAAAGCATAAAACATTAGGTAAATGAAGTAAACTGAATTGTTTAACAGCTGGTCGACCAATATTACATTGTGAACACCATATTAAACCATCAATTAATTCCGGTCGAAAATAGGATCCAAGACATGCTTGCAATGAAGTAGAACCACGTTGAATTACATCTAATGAAAGATCTAAGAATGGATCAACTGTTGATGATCTATGCTCACAACCTTCATATGATATGACAGATTCCAAATCACCAAAAAACACCTACATATATATGTACACACACAATAGGGTAAAAACACACAGGAAGAATCAATTTTACACCCAACTCAAAACAAAACACATGATAGAAGAAACCTATCTTTCATCGCTGCTTAAGTGAAAATGTATCAAATCAAGATAGGGGGTTGAAATGCAGCTCTGTATTTATCGTTAATTCGTATAGTTGGAGAACTGAAGGTCGTGCTATATCACAAATCGATTTAAGCTGCATGCAGACAGCAGTTGTAACATTGACGTAGTAGTCGGTGCTACTTATCGAGCAATATTGATTAAACTACTGATTCCTCAACGTCTTCTACCAAGTCAGGTGGGTCGTCTGAAGAATGGTAGAACTAAAAGTCGTAAACTTAAGGTTTGGCGGCAAAATCATACTATCACCTATACCAAGATGTGACAATTATAAGGTGTTTCTTTCAGATAACCATGATCTGTGATGCTGCCTTCGCATAATAGAAAGAGAATCACAAAAGACTGGTGCAAAAGTGACACATCTCATCTGATCCCGCGGATTTCCATCGACAACGGTGAGTTCTTAATAGTACGGAGCTAACAAATAGAGAAATACTTACGAAAAGGTCGTATGACTGACCTCAGTTAGTTATTCATTTGGCTTTGAAGTCATCTTCCCAGGTCATTAAAAACATTCCTAACTCAGCTTTCTTTTCAAGTCTCACAACAACAAAAAATCCCTCAACAGTGTATCTAACCGGGAAGTAGTAAACGCCTTGATACCTCTAACAGAACTCGAAGTCATCTGACTGAATGTTTCTCTAGTTTGAATATATTGTATTTAATATTAGGAATAAGTTATTATTCGGGTACAAGCTTAATAATAGCTATGAACAATCTAATCACTTTAGGAGAGATGGTAACTCAGTTGATGAGTCTTCAAAGACTGTGAAGTAATTAGGACAACGTATTACGCGTATGCTTCATTAATTACCCCCTACCTTAGAAGAGTAATGTTGATAGAAGTGGAAGTAGACTGGAAGAAAGGCTAAGGGTAATGATTTAAATAGAAAAGTAAAGAAGCCATGACGAACAACGGAGTTTGTAAAATACTAACATTTAGTTCTGTCCCTAGGTTATTCTATAAGCCATAAGCTATCATTTGATTCACGATTCACTGTCATACCCTCTTTTATTCGAAAGCTATTAAAAAGCAATTAAAACCCATGGGTTTTTGATATCAAGGTTGAACCAGTCAGTTTATCGTGTCAAGTTTTCTACTGTATATTATCAAGTATATAAATCAAGGATGTAACAGGTAGAAACAAACCAAACCATAATATCAGTACATGAAGTTATTGACTATTGATCTAAACTGCTTCGATACTTATAGACTACCTGGTTGGAATCTGTTTGACTAATAGTTATTGACCTTCAGTAACATGGTACAAAACCGATTGCATTATTGTAGATGCTTTCATTTCGTCATTCCGTTACTTGTCGGACGATATTCCGTATTATAATTAGTACTACAATTATGTCAATTCCTCTGTTCATCGTTTTGTTGAAATTCATCTCACTATACTGAAGTTGTGTAGTACAACTAAGGTGGATGTAATATTTTAGGCCAGTCCCTGCGTGGATCATGAATAATTGACCTGTAGCCGATTTCAAGCCACATCATCTGAGGTTCCTCACAACATATATATGTAGCTAATGAAACAACTCATACTAATCAGTAAGTAATTTTACCAACGAATGCGAGATCGTCTCCTGATTACACACCGCTTTTGCTTAACCCATTCCCTATATGTATTAGCCTGCTAATTGACAACAAAGCGTTGAAACCCATCGTATCGTATTAGAACTGTTAACACTGGAGCTGATTTAATGTAAGTCAACCATTCACTATACACATATATATGCATAGACAAACTTTTTCTCACCTACCTACCTGATGTACAATACAATCACAAGAATCGGAACTTTCACGAGAACTAGATATTGATGATGCTTGTGAATTCGAATCCGGTTGTGGAATACATTCAGTTGAATTGATTATTTTCGATGTTTCTCTAATCGCTTGACTATTATGCTGCTGCTGATGATGATGCAGTAAATTATGATTTGTACTAATAAAATTACGATTTGGATTAGAAGAATGTTGTTCATCATTGATAAGTTTTTGTCCAGGTAATGTACAATTCTCTAATAAATAAAAATTGTATTTTACACGTAATAACTAACTTTAATGATTAAAATAACACGGGCTGATCTCAGTTAGACAATCATTAAAAATTAGTAAACACTAGATACCTACCTGTGTCATAAGATTACAGGATATCTCAGTCATTTACATCCCCGACTCAGACGGGAATCGAACCCGTAACCTTCATGTATGAAGGCGGGCGCCTAACTTTTAAACCACTGAAAAGTTACTTGTTGTTTACATGTTTAGTCTCAATCTATTCGCGAAAGCGCGCAATCATGGATGGGTAACTGCATCACTACCAACATGGCTGAACTCCAATGGTTATGGTTTTTCACATGCATGTCAACTCAGTGGTCTAAAGGTTCAAAGCTCATCACGAGACTCGGGAACCATAAGTTCGAACCGGAATGGAGTTCAACACTAGGATGAAACAGCTATTCAGTACCTCCTTGATTAAAACTGCTGTCTAACCAAACTCAGTCCCTGATATGAAACGTAAATTGGGTAGAAAAACTATATACTCACCATCATGATCGTGTGGTGATTCCTCGCCAACAAGATGACCATGTATTAAAGTTAACAATGTTATAAGAAATTCATGAGCATCCCGTTGTTCATAACCAGCTAAATGACTTGCGTGTAACCAAATTGCATATAGTAGATTATTTGGTACAAATGGAGTAACAACAGGTTTATATAACTATATATTCGAGAGATAAAAAATCACATAGATTATGTATATATAAATAGACAACAATTAAACATTTAACAATTAATGCTCATCGTGACGCAACACCAACCCGCATTTGGAAACAAACTCTGCACAATGTGAAACTTTGACTGAAGCACTCCTAGGATTACTGTCGGTCCCAAGTCCTTGTAAAGGAGAAGGATTCGGGATGGGTTTAGCAACCACGTTTCATGAAAGAGAACTTATCTAAAAAGAACTGTAGCCGGGGAATTCATTTTGACCATTTAAAATCTGACCTGAAAATTTTCATATAAAAGTTATAACTCCTTATGATGAAAGCCAAGATTCTCCTGAAATCACGAGGTCGATACTCCTGACAACCAGAGTAACAACTGATATGAGCACATGGAATGTCTATACAGTGTGGGAGACCGGAAGGATCATTCACATGAAGGTGGAAATGAGAATGCAGACTTGGAATCCTCAAGAAAAAAGGGAAACATGCAGACATCAGTAGGATGAACAGCACTCGACAACAACTAGGAAGGAGGGCTCAGGACGCAGTTGGTTGAACACTCCTGGTCAGCAACCTATGCTCCAAGATAGGTAACAGGCTTGAGTAAGTCTGTATAATGCGCACCTCTACAATAGTACATGGCATCGAGAACTGATCTATTCTCCGTACAAGTTGAAAGCAATACATCAAACAGCGTTGAAAGTACAATCAACCATTAAGTTCGAGTCTTCTTTCCTTTCTCTTTCCAGATGTCCTTATTCATAATAACTAGAGGTGCCGAACACTGATCAATGTCAGTTTTGTACTAAACAGATTCTGTCGACTAAGCTACCATATGATCACTTATCTGAATGAACCAACAAGGGAGTGTGCAATGACACGATAAGTATCCAAGACAAATCAAAAGCTTTGAGAAAAGTGGATATTCCCACCCTTTGCGCTCCATTGATTTAAACCACAATAACCAATTTGATTAATAGAATTCAATCAAGTACTAAGGATTATGCAACACGATGCACGTGTAATATCATGAAATGGACGAAGTTAAGAATGTAAACCACCAAGTCGGTAGCCTGATGGTTAACCATTCACCCCGATACGTCCTAGAGCTTTGAAATCTGGTAAGGTCATGGATATCTATTGTTGAGGGATCCCATACGAGTACTAAATAACTGTTCATACTTTCTGACTTTCACTGGTTGTCTAACTAAAGTCAGTCTGTGATGTACAACTACTATAAAGAGAAAATGACACTTTTACTATCAAAATTGATTATAATTAGTGTAAATCTCCGATACAATACAACATGCATCAATCGAATTACACTTGACGGAGAAGGTTTCGAGGATGTGGAAACCTTCACATATCTGGGCAGCATCATTGATAAACACGGTGGATCTGATGCAAATGTGAGGGCGAGGATCGACAAAGCAAGAGCAGAATATTAACAACTGAAGAACATCTGGAACTCAAAACAATTGTCAACCAACACCAAGGTTAGAATTTTCAATACAAGTGTCAAGACAGTTCTACTGTATGAGGTGGAAACTTGGAGAACTACGAAAGCCATCAACCAAAAGATACAGGTGTTTATCAACCGTTGTCTACGCAAGATACTTCGGATCCATTGGCCAGACACTATCAACAACAAGCTACTGTGGGAAGGCCTATGACAGAGTGGGTTGGAGAATGCTGATGGGCGCCCTATGCTCCATTGGGAGTAACAGGCGTAAGTAAGTAAGTAAGTACATCTATTTCAAGTCTATATGAAACAAGTTGTGAAGCAAATATCTCATTGTTAAAGGATATTACTAATCTAAAAATTGATGTTATACAAAACACCTATGTTAAGCAGTGCTTCTTATCAAGTGTTTCAAATAGTCAAATAAGATATTTATACAATAAATTATATGTAAATATACATATGTATATATAGATATACCTCTTGTGTAATGCGAACCATTTCGCAAGCTAAACAATTACGCGATCGAGTTGGACTTGAACATCTATGTAAATCAGCCAACAAATAGTCACGTAAAACGGGTGTATGGGTCAACGCTTGTATGACAACATTTAAGAAGCATGTATTGCCCATATTGATAAGACCACGCATAGCTACATAAAATATACAAGAAAAAAAAATTCTATTTACATTGATTGATCTCTGAGTAGTAACCAATATCATGTATATCTAATGGTTTATTGCCAACTACATCTAACCACTTTTTTTCTCGAATGAAGATACTAATGTAAGAGGTTATTAGTAAAGACTGTTCTATTTGTTATTTTAAACCATGGTTTAACTTAGCTACATACTCACTGAAAATGAGAGAGAACTGAATTGTTGTTTTGTCTAAGTACGAAACCACTCAACAGTGAGTATCCAAAAGGAGAATTCCTACAATTGTAGTGAGAAGCTAGGATCAGTGGGAGTTCAACCATTTCTAATATGAGACAAGTATCATCGATGATGGTTAGATGATACTCTGAAATTACTGAACTTAGAAATGTGAACCAACGGACAGTATCAGCTGGAGAATCTAAAAGTAACGTGCTTTCTATGAGACTAAGAAACCCTGAGTATGATTCCCCAGCGGTATCATAAGTATGCATTCCTGAAGTGTCCTGTGAAAGGACAAAATAGCTATTTTAATAGATATCTAGGTGAAGTCAGTTCAATATTTAACCTATGAATAAATATAAAACTCATTATCAGGTACACTACAGTTATAAATTTGTAATCAGAAGGGGTTTTGTGAAGATTTCAGTATTTTTCATCGTTGAAATCATGAGTCAATTGAAGCTAGAACACCATGGAAAACCTGGAAGCACTGAATACTGAAATCTCCACAAAATCCCTTCTGGTTATAATTATATGCTCACTAGTGACTGACTTCAAGATACATGTCCTGGAGTTCTAGTGGGAAGCAATGACCAGTAGAGTTCAACCACGTCTGTTGTGAGATAACAACTCACTGAAGACAATTGGTGAACGGTTGCTCAAACTTCGTGGATTGGTTGAAGTTAGACATTAACACCGTTGGATGACAGCAGGTTCAGCGGTCTATCGGTTAAGTGCTCTGGCGCGAGAGTGAAAGGTCCTGGGTTCGAATCTCGCTCGCCAAGCGGGATCGTGGATGTGCACTGCTGAGGAGTCCCATACTAGGACGAAACGGCGGTCCAGTGCTTCCAAATTTTCCATGGTGGTCTAGCTTCAATTGACTCATGAATTCAACTATAAATTTGTAATCTATGTACTATAAAGACCAAAACAAGGTACACATAAGTAAGTAAACTAGACAGTGTAAAAAATTTTTAAAGTGAACTTTGTATCAGTTAACAACTTAAAACATTCAAAATGTATCATTTTTTAAATTTTTCGCTCCATAGGTATGGAACACAATACTAAAGCAGGTGAAACTTTTTCTGTTTCATATCACGTCCTGAAAAATCTAATTTAATGAGCGAGATTATGGCCTCGTTACATAATTCAAGCGATCAGGATCAACTTTAGAAAACTGAACTAATCTATTCAGAGAGAAAGATATATTCAACTTCTCTATTCATATTGACCTACGATTAGGCCACTTCTTACATAAACCATATATTATAAAACTTTAACACCCATCTCGTTTTATATTTATCTCCGCCATGTCCTACCATAATTTCTATTTGCACACTCATCATTCTTAATTTACATGAATTTATTATAATTACCATCCTATTAAACCTTCAAATGCCCTGGTACGGTCGAGAGTGGGGAGAGTTCGCTCTCCCTCTCAAAATGCTCTCACATGGCCACGCGTATATAGCCTCTACCAGGGAAGTCCTACTCACTGCCTTCTCGTCGCATTACTGTTGTTTGCGAAATTGAGAGGACGAAAAGCGAATGTCCGGCGCTTTAAACGGGCCGATGGATACGGAAAATCCACATAGGGGAGATGGAAAACCCTCATTCCAAACCAATGGTGCACATGGGCTGGTTCCAGTATCCTGAGGGAACAAATGGCGTATGAATCATGAGTTGGTCATCGGCTACCATGGGACTGCATCTCCTCACGATGTTCTAATGCCTTGTGGATCAGACCTTTAGGTCGAAGGTTCCAAACGTGGCCCCCTAAGAAAACCACCTGCTTCGTTCTGAACATCCGAGCAGTATCACAGTTCACACACAAATCAAGTGACTTGTGTGACACATATGTGTTCGATCCCCCCCTTTGTACCAATATTTGTGTTTAAATCAAATAATGAAATAATCTTATTAAGTATTATATTCACACATTATTATTACTGTCATTTCAATTAGCTTGGTATAAAATCTCTCCTGGTATGTATTTTATCTTCATGATTTATTGATTGTAACTAAATACCCAACAACGAACTTTCCACCTTTCATAAATGACCTTATATACTTAGAAATGAAACATTAAGAATCCAGTTGAGCCGTAACTGTTGATGTCAAAATTGACCAGTTTAATAACATCAACTATTGGATTGAGTTATGTAGGCATGTAAAGGCTACATTGGTTGGACTTTGAGTGATTGTCGTGGCCAATAGTTAGAGACTTTGAATCGTTTTCAATGGCTTAGATCCATCCATGTTTTGTATTCCTTTAGATTATAAGTTGTTAATTCCTTATAAACTTTTCTTGATTCATTAATTTACATTTTCACTTCAAGTCGTATCTTTGACGTTTAACCGCTTTTATTACCATCAATACTGTTCATACTATCTTTATTACTCTGATGTTTGTCTAGACAATTTCATCTTGGTGTACTTATCGGGTATGGCAACTAGTATCGATGTATACATTTGTCCAGATCTACATTGTGTTTGACTAACTGACTAGTTGACTAGTCTAACATAACATTGTCTAATTCGTTTATTCATGTATGTCTTACTTTTGGTCTTGCAATACAATAATTACGTATTTATAACTACAGAGTCACTGATGATGAAGAAGTTACTGAGGACAATTGTTCACTCCGATATTCTTTGATTTGGGATACAAATAGTGAAATGTAGAACATGAGTTGCAATTTTTCAATGTGCTTATATTAAGTTGAAATTAGACAACACAACTGACTTTGACACTAAGCACTAAGCAACCAGGACATGTTAATCATACCAATAACTAATCAGGCAAAAAAAACACAAAGTAGACGAACCTCCAGAGCAGCCATTTACAGTTAAGGGTAATACTGGAGTAATATGAGGTATTAGACGTAATTCATTAAACGATGGTCTCCAATAACGATTGGATAAACCTGAAAAATTAATCATAGAAGTAATGAGAATATTAAACACTACAGAGATTATTGATAAGAATATTAACTTAACTGTAACAAAACCTCTGAAGCAAGTTTGTAAAAGCTGACACAATGCAATGTTTTTGACTCCGGCACAATTCAAAACTTTCTAGTTGAAAACGAATATAATAATGTCATAAGACTATGTATATTTGATTTACATTTAATGAACAAGTGGAGCGATATAAATTTTACTCAAATAACACTAAAAGTTTTCATACCAGCTGTACAAACGATGAGATATTACCGAACTGTTTATAATTTTTGACGACTCTGTTTCTGATGGATCACTTACAATCAACGAGTAAGCTACAACGTAGGACCAGGCACATATGTGCATCAGTCCAAGTTGCCATAACTCTTTAATACACTTAATTATATCCCTTGATACACAGATAAAAAGAATTTGTAGTCCCGAGGCCACAGGTAACGAACTGAGCCTCCTTAAGAAAATACTTATGGAAAACGGGTATACATCAATACTTTTTGACAAGAATATGGAGTTCAAACCACCTAAAGCATAAATAGCCTCTGAAGAAAAGAAAAAACTTTGTATGAACATCGATTTCGAGGGTGATATAGTTATAGACATCCTGAAGAGAAAAATTTCCGACTCTCAACAGAGAGTTCTTCGGAGCAACTTCGCTATTAGTGTTCTCCAGCCGACTAATGTTCGCCAATAATCTACAGGATAAATTATCTCATTCGACCAATTTCATGTGCGCTTATTAATCTACCTGTTTGGATGCAGTCAGGTATATAGGTCGTTCAATGCGTACTTTTTTCAAGAAAATGTGAGAACATTATTCGGCTTGTCTGAAAACAGGTGGAAATGATTCAATAAGCTCAATAAGCAAACACCCTGTGAACACGGGTCATTCAATCAAAACGGAATCGGAGTTTGAAGTCATTTACAAGGTAATTAGAAAGCTGTCAAAGACAGCTATCTTCCATCCCCTTAGCACTGCCGAAGCACTTGCTACACATCTAAAAAAAACCAGAATAATGTGTACAAAAGAAACGTGTACAACTTCTTATTCTACGATGGTCTTAGTCATTCGGAACTCTTTCCTATCACAAACATCTGCTTCAATTTTATCTTCTTTATAGACCTTTTACCTCCAATTGATTTGTTTCTGTTTCTATGATCCTCCTGGTTACACTTTATCTCAATTTCAACATTTTATCTGATCACACGGATCCTGCCTTTCGAATCATAACTTCTTTATCTTCAATATTCAAGATCTCAACAACATTATTATCACTTCCCTTAATGATAATAGCATTTTCACGTCTTTATTTGCTTATATATTTTACCTCATTGTTACCATGTTTAGCAAAATTTCATTATCACTATTACAGTCATTGTTATCATCTGGAAAAAAATAAGTGTATATTTGTGATTGTACAGCTTTAGAAATGAACCCGCCGAAGAAAGGACTCAGCCGAACCAATCTTCCTTATTTGATTTTGTTTATGTAGGTCGAAATTGTCCATGAATACTGTTACTGTTAGGTAGAATGACTCTGGATATAATCTAGTTCTAAAAGAAAGCAAGGAGTGAATGCACCTGTTTCATTGCGAACGATTTTGAGTCATGTCACCTAGTCACAAATCATTGGTTACGATAATCACATGGACCTTAACCAGAGTAAATATACGACCTTTATTTGTTGATTTAACAGATAATCAAAATATCACAGGAATATTTAGTAAGGAATGAGACTCACCAAATTGAGCTAAATAAGTGCGACATGCAGACTGATGAAAAGTTTCAGCCACAGAATGGTAAACAAAATCACCACAACCAGTACAAAATAATTCACCACGTTCTGTACAAACAGCTATATGAATATAACAAAAAAGGAATCTGAGTGAATAGTTTTCCATGAACAATAAACAAACATACAGAGAGTGTGAGTGATTAAAACCAAGTGTAGTTCTGTAATTAGCTTGCCAAGCAGAAAGTTCATTTTAATTCGATTAATAATCATTCCTCACTAAAAATAATCAACTATAAGTTTGAAAAAAAAGAGATAAAAGGAAATGAAGAACATTTAAAGTAAAACTTTAAATCAGCCGAAACATTCATCATTTAGTCCATTCGTAGACGAAGAGTGACTGCTTATACTCTTACTACTTCTACCACTATGGGATCTGAGTCGACAATTCCAATGCTAATGTGGTATGGCAACTCGAACTGATGTACGTACGTACGAAGTTCTACGTTGTGACTGACTGGCTGACTGATTATACAATATCATAAAGTCTGTGTTTGGGAGAAATCTCATGTAATGTAATAAAAAGCTTCGAATTACATTGAAATGAACAGTTTTGAAAAAATAATGCAGTCTGAAATTTCTATAATTATTCATGAAAACTAAAAAAAGATTTACAGTTAACAACAATTATATATAAAACACAACAGACTTACAAAGATAATGATCAGGATGGTCTTCCCTGTGTAAATATATATGACGATAATCCCAACAAGCGAAATGAATACAATGAGCACAAGCGAGTAAACATCTAGGTCTTATCAAATCTTTATTGCAAACGTCGAAATCTTCACCTCGTGTTTTGCATAAAGTACAACATAATGTAGCCTGATCAATAAAAAATGATGATAATTTCTGTAGTTTGAAGTGTAGTAATAACTGTTTTAAAAGTTGTTTGACGGCTACTTAATATATAATTTAAGTAATTGGAACTGAAGTGTTTAGATCTTTGTCCAACTATTTAGGAATCTCAAACTGCATATACCGTTTGAGAATTACAGAAGACCGAATATGTTCAGAAAGTTTGTAGTGTTTAACTAAGTCTTTGGAAGGAAATACTACACGTAAATATATACTTGTTTGAAAACCAAAGACTGGAAAATATATGTTTCCTTTAGAAAAACTAGAAATCTTTAAATATAGTGTACAACTAAGATATTGCGTAAAAGTTTGAACTCGAAAGATGAATTTCAGCATGAGAGTCAATAGCTTAACGTCAACCATAAATCGAGTCTTCTCTGAAATTATATTTTAGTACATTTCAATTAATTAGCTAACCAATTCATTGTCACGGTATTTGTAACTTAGATTTAATTCGCATCATTAGGAACTGATGAGTGTGAACTCACGGATATACACCTTGCATTAGTTTCACATCCATGTATTAAACCAGATAGATTAAATAGTACTGTTCGAGATAGACTGGCTTAATAGTTGCATGACCATTTATCGCTTTATTCTTAAAGAAAGCTGCGAATCATCAAGATCCGTTTATAGATATCAAAGACCTAAAGATCACTCAAACTAGTGGCTTGAGACGTGACTAAGAATAGAATTCAGCTGTAGCCGTGTTTTATTTTTTTATTATATGCATCATAAAAGTATGGCAAACCATAGTTGAAAGAAATTTACGTTGTATGTAATTTGACTCGATTGTATGTTTAGTGGCCTACTGCACCTAATCCCCTAGCAATGAAAATGGTAAAATAAAAATGGGTGGGATAGTAGTGAAAACAAAAGAGTTGAAAGTTCAGTCCCCATCTAAACAACTAATAGTTATACCTATAAACTTTTGTTTGCACAAAGCTATGAAAACTTCTGGAAACCGAATAAACTTATACGTAACAACCGAGTAGATCTGGCTATTATTTTTCTGCTTGTCCTAACAAAGAACATGTTAGGCAGACCAAGTTATGTGACAAGGTGTTTGTACCAACACATATTTAACACATTTCAAAACCAAGATACTACTGTTACAGAAAACAAGTTTGTTCCTAAATAGCCTCAATCACTACCAATCTTTTCAATCCAGTAACGAAAGTCCACGTCAAACGATTGAGATTTTGTTATTTAGAAGCTTCAACTAAAAAATATTCTAACATGAAGGGATGACAGCGCATAAATAATGAATTCTCTACGGTAAGGCTAGGATTTAAGTTCATAGTGTGATGACTAACTGAAAGTATTTCGAACAAATAATAAGTCATTCGTAGTATACGTAACGACGAAAAACAGTATCCTAGATAAATGATCTGTAAAATCTCTAAATTTCTCAAAAGAGAATCCACCTTTTAGTGGACATACCTTATGAGTGAATCCACGCTGGGACTTTGGAAAAGCAAGATGGTTAATGATATTTTTATATGCAATCTCATTTGTCTTCTGTGTGAAGAATTGATTCGCATGTTTGCAAGACATTTCAGGCATATTTGACCCCAAATGTCTATATTCTACCCTGATCACTAACTAGAACATAATTATGATTTTTTGATCGATTTCATATCATTGATAAAAGCCTAAGAGACAGAAAACCCGAAATGTTTATGATTCGCGCCTGGGAGCGTGTGCGCTAAAACCGGTCTCATTGATTGGTTCCTTAAGGACCGAAATCTCTAGTGCTGTATGTCCCATTTACTAGCTAGCATCTCTCAGTCTTTTTCCTTATGGTCCAGTCTTCATGTTAAGGAACAACTTATGATATTTTACAGAGATCAGTGGGATTAATCCAGCTACACGACACCAACAAATTCAGTAAACTCAATATTTAGTGGGCCATTACAATATCCAATCTGTTTGTGACGAGTGTAGTGGTTAATAAATCTCCAAAATCAAAAGCTTTGTAAGTTTTCGACATTGGATGCTGACCACACTAGTTTTAATGGACTTGTAGCTGTAAATAATTCCCCAAAATTAATAGTTCATTAAGTGTTCGACATTGGATGCTGACCACGTTGTTTAAGTGGACTTGTTTAGCTGAAGGCTTTCGGTCATGCATCCGTACCAGATCACGTTTCAACACGGCGTGGGACACAGCTCCTACGTTTCATTAGCCAGCTTATAGAAAAGGTCCTCGATATATTGGTAACGAATCAAATATATCTTTTCTGCCTCTTCTCGTCCGACTTCTGATTTCTATCTGACTGGGAACGATCGAATATAGAAGGTGCTACTGGTAGCTAGTTGCAAAACTAGAATATCCGTTGCATCCTCAGACTCACCCATGGCTGGAGGCCCTCGTTCATGCATCCGCACCAGACCACGGGTGGGAACTATGTGCTCAACTTCTCCTGTGATCGCTGGCCAGTTCAGATCAGTCCCTTTTCGATATATTGATAATCTATCAAATATATCTCCCAACCTTCTCGCTTCTGACATCTTACTTCACTTGGTGGGTTGGATTCATTTATAGAAGGTGTTGCTGGTTAAAGTGTTGCCAAACTAGAATACCTGTGGCATCTACACGAGTTTGTATAAACTGATTGATTTCCTTGATCTCACTCATGACTGGTTCTGTACGGATATACGTCTTTGGTGGTGTCCAGTGAGAAGTAGTCTAGCCATTTGACCGTAGTAATGCTAGTCCTTGTGGTAGTTACATATGTGTTTGTGAATCTTGTTATCTGATTGAATGAATTTATCTCAGGGGAACAGGGATTATCAAGGCAGCAGCTGCTGCATTACCACGTAGGAGGTGGGTGGTTGAAATGTAAAAAATAATACGGAAACTTTCCAATGCAGAAGAGATGAAAGAAGATAATTGTATGTACAAGTAAATAAATAAATGAGTTAAGTAGTTAGTAACACAGATAGTGTGGGTCGGCAGAAGTGTGAGGATAAGAGGAAAATATAGATTGCAAGAAGCTAGACAAAAAAATCAACGATTATCACAGCCACCACTGTGCCGTGTGCATCAGCTTGGCAGAAATACCACACTCCATCTCGTCTGGATCTCCGGGGCTTACTGGTTGTTATCTAGCGATCTGTGTTACAGACCACATTTTATCATGTTTAACTCTGATTCCAGAGGACCGTTTGAATGTCGGTCTCCGAGATATCATGAGAGTTTTCTGTGACATAGTTGTGCAAACCAGAATCACTCTTTGTAAAAAGTGTTTGCTTTTAGTCCTAGTTCAGTTTCTTCATAAGCGTCACGGTTTCAGTTGAATATTAACCATGTAGAGCGCCGAATAGCATTGTCCCAATGTTATTCGTCAAAGGCTTCACTGGTTTCCTGCAGGATACCTTCTGACACTGAAAGCTAAAAGAGAATAGGAGAGTTTTGAATGTCAGTCAGTCACAACGTAGAACTTCGTACGTACGTACATCAGTTTCAGTTGCCATACCACATTAGCACAGAGATGGAGTTGTCGATTCAAATCCCACAGTGGTAGAAGTGGTAAGAGTATAAGCATCATGTGAAAGATTAGGGTTTGAAGATGTTATTCAAGGAGTATAATACAGTGAAATAAATTTGGAAAGAGAAAAAGGGTAGGGACATGAGGAATTCAGAAGATTAGAATTTGGGAGGACACAAAGATTGGATGCATCTTCGCCATTGCAAACGATTTCCAGCCATGTCATTTGAGGTCTCTAACCATCGATTGCTATCATCTCGCGAATCCCAACCAGTTAGTCTACACCTACCAACATGGTTCAATCCAATTGTCAGTGGCTTCATGGATTTATGCCACCTTTCGGTCTGGCCGCCTCTAGCTTTCTTCCAACCTACTCATACACCATAAAACATTGCACATCGGGGCAGTCGGTGGTTGGGCATACATGACACGTGTCCCAGCCATCTCAACTGATGAAGTTTCACTACATCATCAATCGATTTGCCATCCCTACCTAGTACCTGTTTCCTAACAACTGCATTATTTACCCGGTGGACCCAGGATATACGAGCAATGCTTCGAAGACACCTGTGATCAAATACTAGTAGCCTACGAATATCCTCTACTCTTATCGGCCGTGTTTCACTGCCACAAAGTAGGACGGAACAGTAAACCCGTCCTTTGGTTGCTAGATGGATATCTCGCCTACGCCACAAACGACGCAAGTTTGCAAAAGCTAGACAAGCCTTCTGTATCCATGCTGAGATTTCGTCACATCCCAGACCACAAGGGCTGATGAGACTCCAAGATGAGTGAAGCAGTCAACAAGCTCAACTTCTTCACTCACTATTATTAGTTCATTTGTCGCTGCAACCCCATCCTGAAGTAACATTTTGCACTTCGAGGGAGAGAATCGCATCCCGAACATGCGTGCATAGTTGCCTATGGTGGTCAGAAGACTCTGCATGTTGCCAGCGTCTTCACCAAGTAAAACTATGTCGTCGGCGTATTCTAAGTCAACAAGTGAGCCTCCTGGTAAAAGTTCAATTCCTGGAGGTTTAGTTGATGAAAGTGTTATCTCTAAAAGTATGTCAATGACAAAGTTAAACAAGAATGGGGAGAGTGGACAGCCCTGACAAACACCACTTGAGGTAATCAATTCTGATGACAGTTCACCATAGGCTCTAACTCGACCAGTTGTGTTCGAATAGAGAGCCTTCATGAGGTCAGTGTACTTCTTTGGTACTCCTTTCAGTGACAAACACTGCCATAGAACCTCACGATCAACGGAGTCAAATGCCGCCTTAATGTCAAGAAATACTACTACTGTCACACCTCTGTACAGTCAGCAGTACGATTTCGCCTTCGTACCTTGGGATTGCTGCTTTTAGTCTTACCACTCTTCAACCGACCTGTCTGACATAGTAGAACCTTGAGAAACGATTGTTCCAGCCAGCATAGTTCGATTGGATCATCACGATAGGCAAGCCCGACCACCACGTCAAGGTAGCAGCAACGGTCGGGAGTTTTGAATGGGATCCATTTCACAAGTTTTGATGTGATAGGAACTACGTCGCTATCATCTCTTCTTCTAGCAGTCACCTACTGTTAACTCCTACTATCATTAAGAGATGTGCATAATGCGGTGGATGACTTCTCGAGTGAACTTGCGATGCGTACTGTGGTTTGTCTGTCATCTTTCTTATGATCACTTCTTTTGCTATACCTGTCCTGGCAGTACTGGTGGAAGGCGTAAGGCTGTTTTTAATTTAAATGGAACTTTCCTGGGTGAGGTTGTCGTATTTTTTCCAGGTACACGCACAATAACCACGGAAGCGGATGGCGTAAGATGAACACATGGTACTACCTGGGTACTTCCTGTCATAGTCACAAAAGACCAGGCTACCAAACAATTTCATTCGAATTCTGCGTTTTCTATTCTAACGAGTAACGAACATATGATATGGTTGTCGTTTTAATATCCTCCTCCAACATACAGCGGTTTCGAACATCTGGTTTGGGGGCGGTTTTGGCTTCCGTTTTTCCCACTTTTATAGGTATTATCAGAAATTGGAATCTCTATCAGAGTTTAATCTTTGGTGACTGAACAGACTATCTGTACGCTTGTGTCGTGTGGACGGTACTTTATACGTCGCTCTGAGATGATTAACTTCGTTTTATCTTAAGGCTTTTTTATGCATGTAGCTAAACAAAGAGTTTTACTCACTATCATCTCCTGCATGAAGATCTCCACTTACCATCCTCCTAGTTATGGTGTATGTAGTGGTGGGAACTCTATTATTGTGAGCGCTACTCGATGAACGAAATAAATAAATATGAGATGGTTTAAAAAGAATGAGTATAAATGAAGCCGTCGTGAGAATCCCGATGGTTAGTTTGATTGCATTGATAAATTTACCAAATAGTTGCGCACATTTAAAAAAAGCAGGGATTTCGTACATGTTGTCAGTTAGCTTTGCATTTATGCATTTATCACATCAAAAGCATACTCGTCCTACTTTAACTTTAATAATTGCAGTTAAGGTTTGAATTTTTCTCCAAATTTTTTTTGGTGCTCCTTTTCAGTCGGATCTCGCACGAGTGATTGTGTTTTGTACTTTTATCGATCTTCCCTTCATAAATCCTTTTAAAATGGTAGGCTGTATTTATAAATATGGACAGTTCAGTTGTTTTTCCCTCTGGAGGAAGGAATGCAATGTGATGAGTATGAAATGTGGTTCTAGAAAATGTGTAACCATTTAAAAATCACTGCACATAAAGGATCCTAAAAGCCCAACTCCCGCTAGCTCTGCATGTTTTGCTGTTTCAATTGTGGCATTCATCCATCCATTTTTCCTTGTCCATGTTCATTTAGCTTAACTTGCTGTCATCTTTAGTTTTGACGGATGGTGATATGGGTTGAGAAAGATAACTAGAAGTAATGTGGTTGCTATTTGTTAAAATTAACTGTAGATATTTCTATACACTTCATGCTAATCATACGTTATTACTCAATTATCATGGCTTTCAGTAGTTGTAATATATTCCGTACTGTGCAATTCATTTGTTTTCATATCAGAAGTTGTGGGAATCATATTACGTGCCACATTCACTGGCCATCCTTAATTCTGCTATTACGACAATCAAGTACACAAGGTTAATGTTTTCGAGGAGGTGAGTTGATAAAGACTCTGTAACAACACAGCCTCAAAGACACTTCAATTTGCAGCTCAACCTTTAACCCTACCAGCAA